TGTTTGGTGTGACGGGGATTCGAACCCGCGACCCACAGATTGCGAGTTGACCACCCTAACCACCTGGCCATGCCGGGCCACATCGGAAGGAGATTCGCCTAGAGATCGGAACAAAGTGGGGAAAAAACTTAGTTTGGTGATATATAGCTAGAAGAATGGTGGTTTTGAGCAACTTCCACCACAATTACAGTCCAGATTTTTTTTTGAAGTTGTCGTAAACTTTCCTTCTCATTGTTTACTTTATTTGAATTAGGATGTTTTAAAATAATATAAGAAGACAGGAAAATCAATAATTACAATCCACAATAAATGCGAGAAGTTATAATTGTTTCAAACAAAACACATGACAATGAGATTTTTTTCCAAATTTCAAGGCTTCGAATTTATAAAAATGTCACATACTTGAACATGATATTTAATTTCTAGACTTTATATACTGTGTTGAATTTTTTTCAGATGTTTCACATTATTTCATCTAGTAGTTTTTCCACAACGCAATAAAACAAACCTTACAAAAGGTGCGTCGAATCGACCCATTCGGGTCTGGTAGAAATATTTGAGCTAACTAAGCATTATAATTTCTGAATTATATAATTAAAAAAAAAACCAGCATGAAAGTAGAAAATTAGAGTCGAATCACATAGCAATTATAAAGGGGTTAAAGAAAGGGAAGAAAAATCTCTATATATGTGTGTGAATTTAATTAAAAAGAGGGAAAAGTTATAGTGGATAGAGGTAAAGAGATATGATAATTAAGAGTAAAAATAGCAGAAGCAAGTGATGATTTGATCGTGAACATAAAATGCAAACAAAAAGACAAGTAAGGTTTGTTTGAGGAAAGTCACATTAAGCTATCCGCTGTGCCCACTGCGGGGACTCGAGCCCCGCATTTTAGCATTGTAAGTACGTAAACTTACCATTTTCCCACCGGAAGTCCAGAAGTAAGGAGGAAACTGAAAAAACAATTAAAATGACAAAAAATGAAATAAAGAGAAAGTATATTAAATAATATAGGAATTAGTGGCGAGCGAAAATTTTCTGCATATAGAGGGCAGCATCGAATGAGAAAAGCTATTATGTGAACGGAGGTAAGTGTCCATCGGAAATACATTTTCAATTTAAGAAAATTATAGTATTCAATAAAACAGATTGAATTTTAAAGAACATTGTAGACTTTTGATGGTGACGACAAATCAGGTGGATAAAATTTTAATATAGATAAAGCTAAACTCCTGTATATTTATTTAGCAATGACTTAGACTTTATAAATAGTGTTATGACAGCGGAAGTCACGAAACGCTGGGAGCATGCGCGCTCGAATTTCTTGAAGGATCATGAATTATCGAGGAACCCCGCGAATGTCCGAGTGTTTGCCAGGCACCCTCTTTTCTAGTATATAAGCCCGGCAAATAAAGCCAGCGACAGATAGAAATGCAGATAGATTGAAGATATATAGATAGATTGAAGATATAGATAATTGAGT